GAAAATCAGGCCATTTCGATCAAATTGTTTTGACATCAAGAAATACTTGTTTCCTAGTTACCAATGTCCAAAACCCAAAATTAGTCTAAAATTAAAAGTTAATCATGCATATATACCCAGTAAGAAATAATTGGTCGAAAAGACGTCGAATCGACATCGAATCGACCCAAGGATCCAGTGAGAAATGATTTTCAATTCGACATTAAATTAGCGATCATTTTTCACTGGGTAATTGCATAAAAATTATATTTAGAAATCACAATTATGTATATTTATAAAAATAAACGTTTTTCTGATAAACATCTTTACCTTGGACAAACGTTTCTATAAAATAATTATAAAACATTGTGTTAAAACGTTTATAAAACTGTTTTTTCTGAGGATAGCTAAATATTGTTGAAAATAATAATAAATATAATACACATATATCGAATTAGATAAAATCAATATTTATTTTAAAACAATTAAAATATAAATGTTTGTCTTATATCTAACATCACAGTTTGTGTATACCTAATATAATTTAAGGGTTTACAAACTTATTTCCATAAAGGATTTTGAACTTTTATAAAGACTGTAAAACTATAATTCCTCTAAGTTTTTAGTCTTAAACTTTAAATTCCAAAAAGAACACAATAATTGGATAAATGAATTACAACGCAAAATTAAAAAAACTTGATTTTTTTTATATCGTGTTTCTATAAAAAGCATTAATTTTCTAACTGTACTCAATAATACCTCCATTTGCCAATAGCGAATAGAAAAATCTAAGAAAAATTATATCAGAATAAAATCTGTAACTCAAATAAAAGAAAAGGATAAAAAAACGTCTGGATATATCCAGTACTCATTAATATCTCCATTTGCTAATAGCAAATAGAAAAATTTAAAAAAAATTATATTAAAATAAAATCTGTAACTCAAATAAAAAAAAATAAGAAAAATGTCTGGATATATTCCGTACTCAATAATATCTCCATTGGCCCAAATAGAAAAATCCAAGCAAAAATGATATCAGAATAAAATCTGTAGCTCAAATAAAAGAACAGGATAAGAAAAACGTTTAAATATATCCCTGTGTTGAAGCTTATTCTTAATTTTTCTTCCTATCTTTCTTCTGAGGGCTCTTACTCTCGTTTCGGTTACGTGAGCTTTTGTTCTTTCTCTTCCAAGTGTCAGACCCTTCCTCCTGCTTCCGCCAAGGGGCATTCCGTAACCAGGACATCACAGAGTTTTTGGCATGTGAAAGATCACTCTCAGGAAATCGCGTTTGTATTACACTTAAAACATATGAAATAATTATATTTTTTACTAATAAATACCAATACAGTTTACAAACTGTACCTATTTAGTCTACAATAATAAAATTTAAAAAGACAATGATAAAATCAAGCTAATGTATTTATATCAAAGAATACGCACCAGTGATATTTTAAGAAATAAATTATTCGAAATAGCTCACACTGAGTTTTCATATGATTATACCTAGAGAAACTTCAGTAGAGAGAATTGCCAATTTGGTTATGTGCATCCGCAATTGGCTGGCATCAATATTAGGGCATTGCGACGTCAATGCGCTGACGTCGGAATAATGGTGAACAGAGATGTGTGACACCAACACATTGCTGTTCCCCATGGTTCCGACGTCGACACATTGGCGTCGCAATGCCCAAATCTAAACATATTGATGCCAGCCAATCGCGGAGTAGCTGGTCACATGGCCAAGTTGGCGATTTTCTCTACTAGAGGTTCTCTAGTTATACTCATATTAGTTATACTCATATAGTTATACTCATACAAAAACAATTTAAAAAACTGTAAAAATTCTTTACTTTTCGAGTCTAATAGCAAGAAAAATGTTACTATTTAAACATTCAATAATCTGTAATAATCAAATACCTTGAACTACTTCCCAAAGGTGCAGGTTTTGGAAGCTTTTTTTTTTACTTCCCTCAGTACCCTTAAAATTGTAGGAACTGGCCAGTGTATTAGAAATCAACTTTGTCATAACTTGAGCAGCTGCTTTTTCTTCACTGCTTTTCAAAGAATATGAAGCCAGATAATGAACCTAAAAAGAAAACAATTATATCAACAGTTTGCTAACAATATTTATAGCGATATAAAACAGTGCAAGCAGAATTAAACTCACTGTTGCTGCCAAATTAGAGACGTCATCCAAGAATCTTTCGATAGCTTTCAGATCATCCTCTGTGTGGACAGGAAGAGTCGGGAGATCTGGTGGACGAACAATTCTCTTCTCAGCTGGGAGGAGAGACCGGTTCAGTCGAGCTTGATTCATAATCGTGACATCAACTTTACTGCTTAGTTCTTCTATTCGCACAAGTGTAGTCTTGCATAGAGATTTTATTTCTGTAATGCTCTTACTGATATCTGAAATAAATAATAGTAATTAACTAATTTAAAAATATACATAAATAGATCCAGCAACTGACCACAATATAATTACCAAAGGAAAGATTACTGTCATCTGACAGAAACTGCTTCTTTTTACTGTGCATTGGAACATCTAAATCCTCACTATTATTAGCGTCCTGTAATATATCTTGGTGACAACTAAACAGCTCACGAGAAATGGCTCCAGAATTTCTAGAATTCATGTTGTACAACGGTGAAGAAGACCTCAAAGGTGTAGAAAAACTCGAGAAAACTTCTGTGTTCCTTGATCCCAAGCTCTTGAAAGAATTTCGCCCTTCAGAAGAGATTCCAAGGCCGAACTCGTCAATTTTAGCTTCAGGCTCATCAACTATATTTTCCTCCTCATCCGTCAAAAGTATAATGTTATTTTGATATGGTGTGGTATTCACCTGTTGCAGACGACTTTTGGTACTTGCATTTAGTTGAGGAACATTTAATGCACTCATCTGCTTTTTAAGAGCATTTTTTAAATGCCCTTCTTTTAGCTTCTGAGAAAGTCTTTGCCGTTCAGTTTTCTGACTCCTGATTTTCTCTATTATAGGTAAAACAGCTTTTAAATTGTTTTGTTTTATATTTACAATAATTTTTTTATTACTGTCATTTTGATCTAGCCTTATGTTACCAGTTTTGTTTTGAAAGGATAACGATGGTGGTGACGGTATGTCTTCAACTATGTTCTTTGACTTAACGAACTTTTCAGTCTTCTTACGTGGAACTGAATCTGTCGAATCGCTGTCATCTGACAGAGATTGCTGCTTCTTTTTACTGTACTCGGAAATATCTGAATCTTCATCGTCATCAGTATATTTAGTAGGCGGTCGTTTCTTCCTCTTACCTCGGCCTAATTCTCGTTCAGTCTCATAGGAAGTTAGTCCTTCATCCACCAATCTTTTCAGCGCCTCCCTAGCTCTTCTCACAGTGTCTGACAAATAAAGTAATAATGGTTAGACTAAAATCACCATTATGTCTCATAAATATAATTTACTTTCATAACTGGACTTACCGAAATATCTTATTACCTCAACAGAGCTCACTGGCCAATTTGAATTTGGAGAAGCTTCTTTCCTTATAAGCTTTCCAGCGTCTACGGAAGGAGGCGGCCATTTTGTTGTACCTATCATGTCCTCGTTTAAGTCAACAATCCATTTGGCGAGGCCCACCTCATAAGCTGTGTCGTCATCTGATCCTTTTTTTATTGTTTTGTTAATAAATTTGATGACAACGAACTACAAATAACAATGCACAAAAAAATTTTGTAGATATAATACAGCAGCAGCTGGCAGTTAATATATGTGCAGTATTTAGAATAGAGGCATTGTATGCAACAAAGGCACACACAGAAATGCATCGCCATCTGGCATTAGCCAACATTTTGACTCAACCTCTATCAAAGGAAAACTTCTTCTAATATGCTCTCTTTCAGATACACGAGCAATACCTAGAACACATGAGTCTAGAGGATATGTGTAAAAGTTCTCAACATTAAGAAACATATTTCCAATCATAAAAACGCCTTCTTCATTATGAACAATATTCCTCAATACAACAATGTTTCCATCAATAGTCCGAAAACACGAATCTTTCCTTCCTAACTGGAAAAAAATTTCACCAACAGATACTCGTCTGAAATGTGTACCAATCATGACTTCATTAGGATCTCTGTGCCTTTGAGAAAGAGTAACATGCTTATCATTAGAATGCAAACGAACAATAACACGTGTAGACCTTTCAAGGTCTCTATAAGCTGCTTGCTGCAGCGGTTTATAGCCTGATCGAAGAATTGCCTTAAGGGATTTCAATCTATTTTCAAATTTGAAGGCACTAAAATTTTCCAGCTGTCCATGTGCGGCACATTCAGCGGTTAGATGGCAGAGAGCATGGACATTATATACTACAAACTTCTGCCCGTAAATGTTAACAGAATGATGTATAAAGACCTGTAACAATTCATTGGCAGTTTCTAGCATTGAATGAACCAGTACTGGACTGGAAAGAATATAAAGAGCAGAATGCAATAAAAGAAAATGTTTGTACACATTTTCATGTAGACGTCCTTTGAATATAAGGATGCTATTATAGAGACACAAACGCCGGAGTTCAGTAGCCTTGTAGAATTTCCATTCTGTCAATGATCTTGGAGGCCTAGCAAAATCTTGTGGACATGTTTTAAGCAAATCATTTTCAAGAATGGCAGATATTTCACGGACTGTGTTGCTATCCAATTGCCAGGGTCCTTTCCACAGCATAAATGCTTTAAGTAGCCTCTTCCAAACCCCTTGCCAAATCAAATGCATTGGATCAAGACGGAACTGGGATATCATACCAGCAATTCTTGACAAAATAGACACACCGGTATGATGAAGTCTCTGACTCATGTTACGAAAAGACTCGTCCGTTCTCAGAGGTTTGTCAAGTTGCACGTAAGTTATTCTTCCATCAACATATTGGCCAACAACAGTACACTTTTCACATGATCCATAGCCTGAATGACCTATAATGCATTTCACCAGTGATCGAGCAGGTGCATCCAGTATATAATTTCTAACTTCAAACGGATACGCTACTCCATTACAAATGTATCCATTTTCCTGCAAATTTTGTACCTCATTAACAAAGTTATTCAAGAATTCTGCCGGATTTCTAGGGTCTTGCTTGCTTAGATATAGAGCAATGATGAATGGTTCATTTTCAGTACCGACAAGATAACCTAAAATAGGCCAGAATTTCTTCTTCGAACTTTGAAATAAAGGTAAACCATCCATGTTTACATCAATCTTGATACAATCATATTTTTGAAGATACTCTCTCAAATCCATAGCATTCAAATTAGCCTCAATACTTTTATACCAAAACTCACATCCATCATGAAATTGAACTACATTAATATAAGCAGGAGTGTGAAGCAATATCTTGTAATTCCTCGGCATTCTTGGAAAAACTACACTAAGCCTATTGAGAAGATCATCCAGTTTTCTCATGGACAGATGACCTGCCTCTAACGCCCACTCACGAACAGTTTCAATAGTATATTCTTCTCTTTCAGCATCATTTTCAAATTCTACGACATTTCTCTCATTATTATTGACAAAATCTACACCAGGCCCATCATCATCACTTTCATCATTAATACTTGGTAATGAATCATTTCTATCATTGTTGATTTCCTCATCACTTGATGAAGCATTATTATTTGGCACAGGATTCTGTTGCAAATAATGCACTTGAATATCACACTCATCTACACGATTGAGATACGAGAGATTGCAATCATCTAATTCACTGTCAGTGTCACTTGTTAAAACATATCTTGCGTTGACTTTGCTCATAATCTCGTCAACTTTTAATCTTTTAGACACCTCTCTTTCAGCCCTTCGCCGCAACTTCCGCTTGTAAAACTTCAAACTCATCTTAAAAAGGGAAGGCTAACATTACTCAATAGTAATTTTGTACATGTTTTTGTACATGCAAAAATATTAGTGAGATCACATGTACGGGGCATTGAATTTATAACCTGCTAATATTAAACAAAAAATATCTAATGTATGCATCATATTGAAATCCAAAGAAACATATCTGCAATACTACAGAGGAAATCACTTAACATCAGTAAATAAATATCAGCTCTCAATGCCGCTCTCAGTGTGTTGTCATACCGCTTATCGGTTCCTAACCTGAGATAGTCTATAGATGTAATATTACTGGAAATACTTACTGGACGTTGATCGTCATCCATGGTTTCCAAAAAACTTTCTGTTCTTGATATTTCTTCCCAAGTTAATTGTTACTTCGAAACACTAATAGTTGCTTGTGTAATCACATCAGTTTATACAACGTACATAAATGAAGGAATGTCATTTCGCAGACCGATTACAAGACATGTTTATCGCCATTCGATAATATCGAATTCGATTATCGTCACTCGATATTATCGAATGGCGATAAACATGTCTAGTAAACGGTCTACGAAATGGCATGGCATTCTTTCATTTATGTACGTTGTATAAACTGATGTGATTACACAAGCAACAATTAGTGTTTCGAAGTAACAATTAACTTAGGAAGAAATATCAGGAACAGAAAGTTTTTTGGAAACCATGGATGACGATCAACGTCCAGTAAGTATTTCCATTAATATTACATTTATGGATTATCTCAGGTTAGGAATTACCTGTAAGCGGTATGACAGCACACTGAGAGCGGCATTGAGAGCTGATTTTTATTTACTGATGTTAAGTAATTTCCTCTGTAGTATTGCAGATATGTTTTTTTAGGTTTCAATATGATGCGTACATTAGATATTTTTTTAAATATTAGCAGGTTATAAATTCAGTGTCCTGTACATGTGATCTCACTTACTACTATTTTTGCCAACATGTACAGAATTACTATTGAGTAATTAAATCTTTTAAGGTATTGAATCGAAACACATCTATGTATTTATACGCTTCAGCGTATGCAAAACATATATCGGGAGTTAGTCCCGAAACACAATGGATTTCGGAGTGTGTTGAAAATGTGTGTCGAAATGTGATAGACGATCATATGCACATGTAGATAAATGTTTTAAGTTTACACATATAATCAACTATAAGTGAAAATAAATTGTGAAAATAGATTGTATATTTACGCACTTATGATTTTTTGAAAATGATTTAAGCAGAACATTTAGTAGAAGAAGCAGAAAAGCTGTGTTGCGCCGAAACGATCCAAGTGTACTTCGAAAATAATGTTA